TGCGGGGCCGGGGGGGCCTGCGGGGCCGGAGCCCGGGGCACCGAGCGGAGCCGCTTTACTGCTCTGCGTGTATCCTGGCCTCGCCGTGCCTGCGAGCGCCTGCTCGAACCGAGCCGGGGCTGCACAGCTGCTTGGGAGCGTGGGTCCAAGTATTAGATGTTGCTGTCAAAGGTACAAGCAGCAAAAGAGGCGACTGCAGTGACATTTAAAACGCTAGCTTTAGCGGTTGGTTAAAGCTGTTGCACTTGTCATCTTTACTGTGGAGTTCGATTCTTACTCCATTGCCAGAATAGGTCAAATTAAGACATGAAAAAAGGCACAGGCCGTTTTCAGCTATGGGGATATTTTATAGTTGTTAACTATTATATCTGCGTCTCCTCAGCGATACTTGCCCGTCAAGAGGATGGGTGAAGTGCTCTAGCCGTGGCAGTATGCCAGCTATATGAAAAGGTTGCAGAAGGCAAGGTTAAAAACGAACAAAAAAGAGAACGCAAGGATAAGAAATGCTTTTCCTCCGTGAGATTTTTTTTCCACCATTTTTTAGATTTAAAAAAAAAAATGGCTGGAAAATAACTGAATTGACAGAGTCAGTTTGGTAATTGTGCTCTGAAATGTACTCCACAGCACGGCTCTAGGAAGAAGAGCGATGCAGGGACACGGGAGGTCTCTTGTAGTGATACCATCAGGTGGTGACACCCCTGGAGGAAAAATGAGAACAAATATTCAACTTTAACATCATGTAGGCTTATCTTTTCGATATTCCTAGTGGTAGCTTTGATAAATAAAACAGAAATACTAAGAGAAAAAAAATAGATTTATTTCTTCATTTTTTTCTGTCAGTCCTTTAAAATGGCCAATTCAATTTTAGTTTTTAAAGTATTCAGTTGCTGGTAAAATTAAGGTCTGTCAAAAGATAAATGGCTGGAACTGTAATATAGCTAGAATTATCCCACTTGCTAAATTTATGTTATTTAAAATAATTTCTGAGCATTTGTATATGTGTATGCATTCCGTCTGTGTTTTTCTTTTTTCTGAGTTCCTGTATTTACATAGGATTTATTTCTTTTTCTCCTGTTAATATGTGTATAGGTCTTAACAAAAAAACAAATGATTTTTCAAGCCTAAAGCTAGGTCCTGGACCAAATCTCATCTCCCCTAAAAATGTTTCTTTAACAATCCGAGGAAGGCGTGCAGGAAGGTGCAGGGAAGACTTTTTCTGCCTGCCAAACCTCCCTCTCAGAAAGGCAGAGAGCTGTTCCAGGCAGCAAGGTGAGGAACTTCTATTTTCAGCAGGTTGCTGCAAGCACCAAATCGCTCCCAAGCACCTCATGGCAATTGGGAGGGAAGTAGTGGGGTGTGCCTTGCAGTTTTACAGTAAAAGGGAAAACTCAGGTGCAGAAAAGCATTGTGATCCTGGCAGTCGGGATGCTTTTCCCTGTGGCGTGAGTGAGGGAGATGCCAAAGAGCTTCCCTGTTTGCCCCGAGGGGCTGACAGCTCATTCCTGAGCAGACATCTCCCGCTGCTGCATTTGGTGGAGTGGTGGTGTTGAGGCTGGGTTAATCACCAGCCTTTGCTGCTTCCCTCCTTCTCTGGGTCTCACCACTTTTCCAGCTGCTGAGATTTGCGAGATGAGTTGCCCTGTATGAAACAGGGAGAAGAGCAAAAACGCCAGGTACTGGCACATTGTGCCTCCTATCTATACGTTATTAAATACACTCTTTGTTTCTCCTTCCAATTGACTGGGTCCCTCGCATAGGAGCAGCCTTGGGGGCTTGTAGACTTTGCACATTTCTAACAAAGCTCTGAAGGACAGAGCAGGATAACAGGCACCGGCTGCTGCTTGTTCTGTACCAGCGTACCCCTTACTGCAATTATATTTCTGTTAGAAACCTTGGCCTTATCTAAAGAGACATTGTCAACTGCCTTAAAGCTCCTTTCTACAAAGGTCTTAAAAAGCCATTGAAATGTTTCCATAATTACACGAAGGAAAATAGATAAAATGTACTGATAAAATAGAGATTGTTTTCTTCTTTAGGATCTTGTCTGTAATGAATTAAAGCTACTGTGTGAACTTGATTCAGTTACTCCTCACAGTCTCTTCACAACATAAAATTATCATCTCTATTTGCAGCTGAGGGGAGTGAGAGAAGGATAACCGAGGTTGGTCAGTGAGTTTGTCACAGAGCACAGCTCCCAGTTCCTAGAAGAAGGCTCTTGGCATAAACCAAAGTTTAATTGTGAGTAATGGGAAGAAATACTCCCCGGAGACATTACAGTGCGTGTCTATCTAGGCCCTTCCCTGGGGAGTTTTCAGGAGTAATCAGCATCAGAACTAAGATCCAAGACCGGACAGATTCCTGATCTTGGTCAGTCTTCAGTGTTGTGCTTCTCAGTGAAAGATCATGAAAGATTGTTCCAGGACTGGGAAAAATGACTTAGCTGGGAAATTCCCATCATTTCAAAGATGGGAGTTTTATTTAGCCTGCTAAATGCAGCTATGATTTAAAGTTCTCAAATTCATTTTCTTTGTACATAATCGCCGTCCTCAAATTTGATGTTTGTGTTTAAATGCAGGTGGGCCGTCCTGTAAGGATAGTGTCATGGTCCTGAAGGTCTTCTTTCCTACATGCTGCTCCTCAGCAGAAAGTGGCATTTTGATCGGCCGCTGGATCTCAGAACAGAACTCTGCTGTCATCCTCGCCGTGGTGCATTTCCCCTTCATTCCTGGGCAGGTGAAGCAATATCTCAGCCAAGTCCAGCAGGTGACCAAGATCAAAGTTTCCGTGCTTGGCTCGTGGAGCAACAGCAAACAGGAGAAAGAAGAGAGTCTGAGTAAGTTCTTGGAAGACCTTGGGACAATATTTGTCCACGAGCCATGGATTCAGATAAGCAAGGAGAGAGACAGCAAATTTTGGAGTTGTTCTACCCTTCAGAAAGAGTCTAACAGCTCTAAGGAAGAAGAAATCATCTTAATATATTATGACCAGCGCAAAGTCATGCTTTCCCAACTACATCCCCCAGTGGACACAACTACTGACCATAAGGCAGATGATGCTTCAAAGCTCGCTGCCATGTTTGACACAGTTGCCAACAGCAAGATACTGTTCATGACAGACAGATATGATGATGGGCCCATCAAGCTGACCCACTGGCAGTCAGATGGAGTTGAAGCTAGCATCATCGTGGAGCTGCTCAAGCAGGCCTCGG